CCCCTAAGGGGACGAGATTTTGTGTTTCATTCAAAGTACTACTTAATATAACTTTCGCCATTTTAAATTCCATTAAAGCTTTAATTAAAATATAAACAAAACGAACTTTACTTTTTTATGCCGTTGATTCACTTCAAATTAAATTTTAACAATTAACATATCGGGTAATTTTAAATAGAAACTTTTTTGTTACACAAAAATGGCTTTTTCTTCCCGATCGTTAGTTACCAATTCTATGACCATATTTTTATACTTTACTATAAACAAGGTCGTCACTCGTCCTAATTTTGCTACTAAAATTCTTACATAAAAGATTTCTTCAAATTCCTTGATTGTTCAAAAATGATTTGACATATGCATATATTTTTTTTAAAGTATCAATTCTAAAATTCAAGTTTTGTCCTTCGATAGGTTTGACATTAATAATGAGTTCAGTCCCTTGCATAGCCCAGACATGTTAAACATCATACCTTGTAATGGGTAAGTTATTGACTCGAATCCTGTGACGCTCCTGGTTCTCACTAGGGAACGATAATTTTTTTGTTAAAGAAAATCACAGTGTTTGTGAATTCGCACAATTGCAATCAATTTTTTTTTTCATGACTGCTTGTATCTATTGTTTCCAATATTTATGTTTGTACTGTAACTTGTGAAATATAAGCAGGGGTGGGGGGGGGGGAAGGGGGGGATGTCCCTTCCTAACTCAGACAGAAAGCTGCTGATTCCTTTCCTATAGTGTAGACGCCCCTGCTATAGGAAATATTATTTTTAAAAAAATATTAATTTTATCAAATGCTCTTGCCAAAATCAATTTTTTTTTTCATGACTGCTTGTATCTATTGTTTCCAATATTTATGTTTGTACTGTAACTTGTGAAATATAAGCAGGGGTGGGGGGGGGGAAGGGTGGGATGTCCCTTCCTAACTCAGACAGAAAGCTGCTGATTCCTTTCCTATAGTGTAGACGCCCCTGCTATAGGAAATATTATTTTTAAAAAAATATTAATTTTATCAAAGGCTCTTGCCAACAGTAAAGTTTGTTTTGAAAGTAATGTATGTATTTGTTGCATTATTTTTTTTCATTTTGTAAAAATGTTAGAGTTCGCCATTAGAGTTTCAATGGAGTTAATCATTAGAGTTCACGTTCAAAGTTCATAGTTATTACACACCTCAATATAATAATAATAAAGTGTATTTCAAAAACACGCTTCATCCCCAAAGGCTCGAAGCGCGGTACAAGAGTTACCACATTTAAAACAAATGCAACACTACAAAAACTAATTACAAGCAAACAATGTCAATATATTCTTATAGATAAAACGTTGGATGTTTTTTTTTTCCTTTCACATGTTAGTTTCACTGCAATTTTGCATTGTTTCAGATTAGATGTTTCAAAGTATAGCATGCAATACATGAAGTAGAGCGTTTCGTTTGCATCTCAGTGTAGTAAGGATAATTCACTACAAGTTTTTGGGAAGTTTTTTTATTCATTTTTTTTAAAATTTTGTCATCGTTCAGAAAGATAGTGAGTGGACTTTGATATTAGATTGTTTACTGACTCCATTTATCCGATCCAGGTTTAAAGCTGACGAAGATGGTGTAATAATAATTTCTTTCCATAAAATCTCATTAAGAAGACATTAAAAATATGTTTCCAACTATGATCAACAAAGCATTCTAAAAAATTATGTAAGCAGGGGATTATACCTTCGTCACACCAGCCTTTGCACACTACCTTCGCACCAGCATTGAACACTACCTACACACCATACTTGAGCACACTACCTTCGCACCATTTTTTGCACACTATCTTCGCACCCTTCCTTGCACACTACCTTCGCACAAGCCTTTTAACACAACTGTTTTACAGTCAGTCCATCTTTTTTTTAAACTAGTGCAGTGTCTTGCTAAATTTTGTATTAATCTTTGTGCCAAGCATTGTCAAGATATTTAAGACATTGAACAACCCCCAGAACCAACTTTTTCGCATAAATCCTTTATAAGCATTTTAGTTTGCGTTTATTTAAAATTAACGGTCATTGTTTTATCATATAATATATATGGGGGTCTTGTTACAATAACTACATTACGGCAATAATGTAAGACACATCTATTTCGCAAACACCTTCTGGGATGATTGTCTACCTTATTTTCCAATTAATGCATACATGCTGTGTTGCGTAGGGTTGAAATGGCTAGAAAGACTTTGCCATTGTATGCTTGTAATTAGTTTTTGTAGTGTTGCGTTTGTTTTAAATGTAGTAAATTATATATTAGTTTTTTGTTGACTTTGTACCGCGCTTCGAGCCTTTGGGGATGAAGCGTGTTTTTGAAATGAACTTTATTATTATTATTATTATATTAAGAGGGGTTTGAGAAGCTACGACAGCTTTCATATTTCACATATTTTGTCCTTCAAAAATACATTTTATTTTATACTGCATACCCGAATACGTCAAAAATACAAAGTAAATAGCAACAGATACAAAATTAAAGTCCACACCATAACACACAACAATAGAATTAGTCATATTTCATTCATCTTCCCCTTATTTTATTTCAATAAACAGTAAAAAAAAAATATTTTGGGGGTGTGGCTGAAAACGTCATAGGATGAGCTGTTCTCGGCAACGAGACTATGCACCAAGTTTCAGTTTGAAAAAATGACGGGATATGGGTCAATAAGCCCTCCAAAAATATTTTGCTTTAAACTCCGAAACGCGAAGAAAAGCGAAGTTAATAGAAATTAGTTAAAAACACCCCACAGTGAGTTGATGAAGAGCAACGCGGCTCGATATAAATACCACATCCAATTGTTAACAACGCGGCTCGATGTAAATACCACATCCAATTGTTAACAACGCGGCTCGATATAAATACCACATCCAATTGTTAACAACGCGGCTCGATATAAATACCACATTTAATTGTTAACAACGCGGCTCGATGTAAATACCACATCCAATTGTTAACAACGCGGCTCGATATAAATACCACATTTAATTGTTAACAACGCGGCTCGATGTAAATACCACATCCAATTGTTAACAACGCGGCTCGATATAAATACCACATCCAATTGTTAACAACGCGGCTCGATATAAATACACTCGATATAAATACCACATATAATTGTTAACAACGCGTCTCGATGTAAATACCACATCCAATTGTTAACAACGCGGCTCGATATAAATACCACATCCAATTGTTAACAACGCGGCTCGATATAAATACCACATCCAATTGTTAAGCTACAAACCAATTTGAGGCCAACACACAAGGAAATAGAAACTATTTAAAAAAGTTTTTTTTTTTCATTTGATCCTGTCTCTGTTGGATTGACTATTTCATTTATTGATATTTTCTCAAGTGCATTAACTATTTCAGTTGATTCACTCAGTCGTTGAATTTTGTTGAGCATTTTTAAAATGATATCTTCAAAATAAAACAAAATGTTCCTTTTTGATAGCAAAGCCATGAAAACTATCATTGGATAAAGTAATTTATTTCGATCAATAGATGTGGACGCACGCTACAAGGCAATTTGGAGGATATTGATGTTTTTATTATGTAATTATTTAAAAAAAAAAAAAAACAGTTTGTCATGAAGAGCGTTCCTTGAAATTTGATGTAAGAAACACGGTGTGTTTCTTATTTTATTACCACTGTTTATTTAAAATATTTGATGCATTAAAATGTATTGTGGGGGGTGGGGGTGGGTAGGGTGTTGTGTTCACATGCATGTCTTAACTTGATTCCTGGCTCTAAATGATAATTTAAGAAAAATACTTTGTAATCTAAAGCTCTTACGTTGTCCAAAACTTGGTCTTGGAAGATTATATATTTTGGCTAATTTACGAATAAATAAATCCACGCATGAACAATTTTGTATAAATATTATTTATCCACCGATTTGTCTATCCATCGACCCATCCATCGATCCATTAGCCTTTAACCAATAAATCCATCCATTGATTCGGTCCGCAATTCTTTAAAAAAGAGATTCTTCGTCTACTGGTTTCTTTATAAACTAGCAAAACATATCCAATACATAATGTTTGTTTAGACTATGTAAAATGATCAAACTCTCTTTCTCTCTATGAATTTTATTCTCTCCCCTTAACCCCTCCCCTATTCTCTCTCCTTCTTTTTCTCTCTGTTTACCCTAACTGATTTTGTTTATAAATAAGAATGGTATTGAAATAATTTCTAAATTAAATAGTTGTTGAATTGTATGATTTTTTTTTTCGTGGTAAGAATGTAACTGCCGAACATGTAATCAACACACGTGTTGATTACAAGCTGTCTGTTCTCTGTCTCTACTTTGTGTATTTGACAGAGTAAGAATCTATCGATCGCACTTCCCGCGTATTACTTGTTGACGTATTTTTATTGTAATTATATGAAGTATTGTCTAGTTTGCCTTTAGCAGGGGTCAAAGTTCCTCGTTAGCGGATGCGTGTCTATTATTATTTCTTATAACATCTTGCGTTACACATGTGTTTAGTTAAATTTTTAATATCTTTATAGATTAAAGTTGCGTTTCTGATAGAAATAGATTTGTGTTTAATTTGGTGTTTAAGGACGTATTAACGTGTGAAGAATCTGATGAATTAATAAAATTAAACATATAATCGGATGTTTGGCCATTCGTAATTACATTGAGACTTGTGCTGAGAGTGGTATGACTTGCTATAAATGGAATATTCGAATAGTCAGAGTTTTACTCCATCAGATTAACACACGATCAGTTTGAACTTCGTAAGTGTGCATCTTTAAGGTCATTGTGAACCAACTAAATCATCTCTCACCTGAGAAGATCATACTCCCTGATGTCTTTTCTTTTAATGTTAACTGACCAACGTTAATTCCCCCTTTTTAAAGTCTCTGAATATTTTTTTTTTAAAAAATAAAATTCTGAATTATTATTACAATAAAATGATGGTATATTGTTCAAAGGTCTCATAGATAAAAAGAACAAAGACGAAACTAGATATTGGGGGAAAACAAGTTAGGGATGTAATCCTGGCCTTCTTTATTTACTCTGTTGAACAGCACAATATATAGTGTTTTTTTTTATTTTTAAAATCCCGTTTGCAGAAGTGACCTCCCTTTTGATGTGAAAACATATTTTCCGAGCCAGCGGGAATGGCTTGGTCTTCCTTCACTCCCTTACACTATCTTCCTGGTTTAGAACCCCTGTAATATAAATTGAAAGGTAACCTATTTAAATATTTGATAAACAAACAGTTTAAATTAAACATATATATATAATTTAATAAACATCCTTAATCACGTAGGATTTCAGATTGACAAAATTTATTACAAAAGATAAGAAATTCCTTTTTTTAAAAATTAAGTTAGACTTGCATAATATGTTACAAAATAAAAGGTATGAAAACAAAAGAAAGGGTGGATGAATGGATTGAGTTTGTTCTCTTACTAAATAGCAGTTTGTGATTGAAAAGTTTATGTGTACGACTTATTGGACTTGTTTATTATTATATTTTATGGTTTCCTATGTACAACACAATTGCAATTACCACAATATTAAAGTTGGTTGACATTGTCGTTGGATTAAAGTTATTTAAGACTTACTAAAAGAACCTCCTCCCATGAACAAATCTCTCAACAAACTCCCTCTCCTCATCATCCTGTCTGGCGAACAACAAGCGTATGAATCGGTAGGACTGTACAAACAGGCCGATGATTTGGATCGTGGTGGCCAACTGTAGAGCAAATAAGACTGGCCCTTCGTACTTAGACTTCTTGGTGGCCTCGGGACCTGAGAGAACAATAAACGAAAACCATCGAAAGAGGCCTAGTAAAAATAGAAATAAGAAAGTAGGGTGTGTGCAAAAACTAGCTGCACGGAGACTCCGGCACCCTGAACGCATACTTCCTATGGTCAGCTCTGCAAATCTCTAAACACCATCTCATCTCCTTAATGAAAAGGACAATATTGTTTGACGTTGTTGTTGGAAATGGGCAGCTCGACTTTTAAAAAAAAATAGAATTATAGTTGAACCTTAATTTTTCCAATACGTAAGTAGTCGTCTTCTTCTTCTATATCTTAAGGGCCCACGATCAATTTATTGATCATTTTGGCTCCTATGCATGTAGATGGGATTTGCAATGTTTCTGTTCCTGTTGTTGATGAGGAAATTTCACAGATTTCCAGTGCCACTTTGTGAGGGAATCATGCACTGGGGGTTTGAAGGCTTGAGGCAATAGACACAAATGTGTCTAGTGTTGTCGCCTCAACCGTTCCTTTTGAAAGATTGTTCCAGTCCCTGATTGTCTTGGGCAGGAATGAGCAGCTCCTATACTGGCTTCTTGCTGGCATGAGCCTGAATTGCCTGTCATGGCCTCGTCGCTGTCTATTGGGGAGAGGGACGAGTTTCTGTTTAATACTGGAACAGTGGACCAGCCCATTATTTATCTTGTACATCATGGAGAGCCTGGATTGTCGTCGTCGTTTCTCCAATGGTGACCAGCCTAGTGTTTCTAGCATGCTGCCAACACTTGAGGTATTCCTGTAGCGGTTTAGGACAAAGCGTGCTGCTCGTCGCTGGACCGCCTCCAACCTGTCAATGCTCTTCTGGGTAAATGGGTCCCAGACTGAAGATGCATAATCTAAAATCGGACGGATAAAGGCTTTATATGCTCTTTCTTTCACACAGGAGTTGCCAATCTTTAGATTTCGCCTTAAGAACCCTAGGGTCTTGTTTGCTTGGTTACATACATTGTTAATATGTTCATCCCATCGGACCTCTCTTTGAATGGTAACACCCAGGTACTTTACGGAGGAAACTTGCTCAAGAATATGGCCGTGCAGTTTGTATTGGTAGTGTAGAGGAGTACAACTTCTAGAGATTGATAGTGTCTGGCACTTGGCAGGGTGAAATTCCATGTCCCAGCTCATCTCCCACTCAGCTAACAGATTGAGATCCTGTTGTAGCTGGTCCTGGTCAGATCTGTTGGCGATCGTCCTATACACTGCTGTGTCATCTGCAAACAGTCTTGCCTGTGATGTCAGTTTCTCCGGTAGGTCATTAATGTATGCTAGGAACAAACAGGGGCCCAGGACTGATCCCTGGGGGACCCCTGACTTCACATTGACAAAGGAGGAGCTTGTACCGCCCACCACTACTGCTTGGCGTCGGTGGCTGAGGAAGCTAGAGATCCATGTTTTAGTCGTGAGTTGGTAAACATTTTTCGGACCTAAAATTAATTAGAAAGCGTAATGAGACATAAGTATTACTTTTTTTATGAACGTTTCCCCATTCTGGGACAGTACTGTGTCAACCAGAAGTGGAAGTCTGGTGGTATAGTTACTGTTTCGATGGAGAATCACTATCTGGATTCTCAACAGAAACTCAATTGATCATCACCACCAATGACCCCCTTTCTCCTATGAAAAAGGTAAACAGATCGACATGGCAATTGTCGACTTTTCCAACGCCTTCGAAACTGTTCCACACAGCCTTCTTCTACATAAGCTCTACTACTACGGCATCACCGGCAACCTTCATTCCTGTCTCTCAACACTCTTAACACAAAGGACCATGCAAGTAGTGGAGGATGGCGTCCGAACAAGCAAATCCACTGTAGACTCAGGAGTTCCTCAGGGTACAGTGATGGGCCCCCTTCTCTTCCTCTGTCATATAAACGACTTCCCTGATAAAGTAAAATCTCAAGTGAGGCTGTTTGCAGATGACTGTCTTGTCTACAAAGAGATAAATGGCTACGATGACCACAACCACCTCCAAACCGATTTGAAGTGCCTTATGAATTGGGCAGACAAATGGGGCATGAAATTTAGCGAAACCAAATGCTACACAATGAGCATCTCAAGAAAAAAACAACAACATATATGTACTCACTAAACGAGACCATTCTCCAACAAGTATCAAATAATCAACACCTTGGAACTCTCTTCTCGAATAATCTAAAATAGTCACCCCATATAAACAAAATTTCAAAAAAAGCCAACTCCACATTTGGTTTCATTTGAAGAAATCTGCGCCTCTGCCGAACATGCTGCAAACGAAACGCTTATCTCGCACTCAATAAACACTGACTTCAGCTCTGACGACTCCATGAGCAGTTACATCCGGAACAACGATAAATGCTTCACTGCACCTTGGTGTAATACAGTTCAATATAAACAATCACTCTTCTCATGAACAATAATTGCTTGGAACCAACTGGACAATGCCGCCGTGGACTCGACATTAATCGAGAGTTTCAAGGCTGCCCTGGCACCGGCTAGGAGCGGTTAGGATAGGTTACCCTAACCGTTGCACATTTGCCGGTACTTGGTTGCAGGACCATAGTCTATCAGAATCTATCAGAATCAGAAAAGAAAAGAAATATTATTTGTATAATTACCCTCCACAATTACAAGTGTCAAAGATTCCATAGCCTCGTAGGGCTCTGTAAACTCTATTCTAAATTTGAAAACACCGCTATGAAAAGTCTGCATGTTGTTCTTTGTGACACACATCCAGGGGTCCTCAATGCGGGAGACGCTGAATTCCGAATACTCATCTTCAACACAGAGGTCCCATTGATTGTCCTAAGAGTAGAGAAAAATAAAATGTTTGAGCTTGAAAACAAAGTTAAAACTTTGGGAGCACAATACTTACATTTTATAAAGTTATTGAATCAATACGGCACCTTGTTCTTCTTTGTAAATGACAGTGTCTATTGTCTATGTAGAAGTTAGTTTTGTCCATGGTTTTATACCAAGAAAGAAAAGTTTGTACTTGAGGTGCAACATTAGATACAAAGGATAGAGTGTTTTGCATTGCACATTATTTTTAGGGTGAAAAAATTTATTAAAAATGTGGTCCAATTTGTAGAAAATGTCTTTCAGTTAAAAGGTATGGTCAGTATATTAAAAATTCTGACAAATAAATACAAAATGTAGGCCCATTAATTGAAATGTTGGCAGTTTCATCGAAATTGTAAGAAAGTCATTAAAAATATGGGCCAGTTAATTAAAACTGACAGCCATTAAATGTAGTTGAAGATTCAGTCAATTTGTTTAAAAGAATTGTTTCACTTTTACTCTATGTGTCTGTTATCTGTTTTTATTTGTATGTGTTTGTTATGTGCCCTTATTTGAATGTGCAAACCCTATTGAAAACTGTGCTATAGATATTTGACTCTGGATGATTAAATCTTCTATTAGTTAAGTAACAAAAAAAGTCAATATATTGATAGTTTTAAGTTTTAAATCAGTTAGCCTTCTCACTTAACTAATCTGACAAAGCTAAATAGCCAATAAAATGTAAGGCCTTTTTTTAGTAATGTGTTTGTTCATTATGGAACACTGCTGATGTCATGGATGGTATAAGCTGGTGTGGAGGAGTATGAACTTAGCCCAAGCCAGAATATAATCTGTGTATAATTATGGCTCGGACATCTTTAACCAAGGGTATAGTCCGAGCTGGGGGTATGATATGGGTATAATTATTGCTTGAGCATCTTTAACCCAGAGTATAATCTGAGCGCTGGGTATACTCTGGCCTTTTTCACTGAGATGTAAGTTAAGACCGTAGATGGAACGTTAGATTCTCCAACATTCAAACTCTATATAGACCAGTAGCATCAAGAGAGTTACAATTTGAATGGCCTAAGCACATCTAGACAGATGCAATCTAGATGAACCAGGCACATTTAGACAGTTACAATCTAGATAGTCCAGGCACATCCATACAGTCACAATCTGGATAGACTAGGCGCATCTAGACAGTGAAAATCATAATTTAAAAAAATCAAAATCCTATATAGAACAAGGAAACTGCAAAGAGTTTCAGGTGCAATTTGATCCGACCCTGGCTCCACTATTCCATATCTTTTGTCACATACAATCAGAATGGTGCGATACTCAAATATACTTGTCCCCATTAAAAAATATGGTATGTTGTTTAATAAATTGTGTTTCGATATTCTTCAGATCTTTCCCTTTGGGCACTTTCTTTTGTCAATACTGAATGTAATTTGCCAGAAACACAATCGTTACATTAGTTAAAGCCTTGGTGTACACAATGTAAACTTTTGTGTTAAAAAATGTATCTCACCTTCTGTGTCCTAGAAGCCACCTTCACAAATGATGGACAACCAGCACACATGTATCTTAGATCGGTTGCGTTGATCGCCTTTGCCATTTTATCCGTCCAATCAACATCTTTAAAGACGGTTAAATGGTTAAAAGTCAAATTGAGTGTCTCACCAATGTGCAAGCCTTTGTAAGCCGTCCTCCTGGTGTAGCTCTCGACACCTGAAATAGATGGGAATTTTCGACAAAGTTCAAAATAACAATTTAATTTTAGAGAAAGCTGTATCCTTACAGTTCTGTCCTTACAGCTGTGTCCTTACAGTTGTGTCTTTACAACTGTGTCCTTACAGCTGTGTCCTTACAGTTGCGTCCTTACAGCTGTGTCCTTACAGCTGTGTCCTTACAATTGTGTCCTTACCATTATGTCCTTACAGCTGTGTCCTTACAGTTGTGTCCTTATAGTTATGTCTTACAGTTGTGTCCTTACAGTGGCGTCTTTACAGTTGTGTCCTTACAGCCGTATCCTTACAGCTGTGTCCTTACAGCTGTGTCCTTACAGTTGTGTCCTTACAGCTGTGTCCTTACAGTTGTGTCCTTACAGCTGTGTCCTTACAGTTGTGTTCTTACAGTTGCGTCCTTACAGTTGTGTCCTTACAGCTGTGTCCTTACAAATGTGTCCTTACCATTATGTCCTTACAGCTGTGTCCTTACAGTTGTGTCCTTATAGTTATGTCTTACAGTTGTGTCCTTACAGTGGTGTCTTTACAGTTGTGTCCTTACAGCCGTATCCTTACAGCTGTGTCCTTACAACTGTGTCCTTACAGTTGTGTCCTTACAGCTGTGTCCTTACAGTTGTGTCCTTACAGTTGTGTCCTTACAGTTGTGTCCTTACAGCTGTGTCGTTACAGTTGTGTTTTTACAGCTGTGTCCTTAAAGTTGTGTTTTTACAGTTGTGTCGTTATTGGACTGGGGCAGGTAACTTAAAAAAGGAACAGAGGAACATCACTCTAGTCATAAGGTGGCGTCCTTCTGTAACATCAAATTCACGAGGTTGGTCTGGCTTTGTTCTGACCTGCAGCAGATTCAACAACTTAAAGATCGTCTAACATTAGAATTTAAAGTGGACGGCAATAGACTGACGACGGCCGACAGACACAAAAACTGGCGATAGCTAAATAATACTTTATGTCTGATGGCGATAGCCAACTCACTTCATCATAATCTACTCATTGCATCACAGGCCACCAACTTCATCATATTTCATTTCATTATAGCCTATTCATTTCATCATAGCCACTCACTTCATCATATCACAGTCTTTTCTACATATTCTACATACGTCCTAAAAGGCCATTCGATTCGTTATATCCCACGTATTACATCATAGCCCATTATATATATTATATCCCATCCGCTTCAACATATGGCCACTAACTTCCCAGGCACTTCATCACAGCCCACATACTTCATCATTTCCCAGTCACTTCAAAATATTCCACACACCTCATAATAGACCACTCACTTCATTATATCAAACTCATTCTGATGCTTTATGAAAAGCCTGTGGATACTCTTTGCATTGCAACAATTATTGTATTACATTATCGTGATGTCAATGGATCATGTGATTAGTATCGTATATAATAAATTACTATGTAGCGTAAATTGGAGGTTGTGTTGCTTCTTATCAAAGAGAAAGACCAGGCGAAATATGCATCATAAAACATCATAGACAACGAAAGTATTTGACATGGGGCCAAATATTTCACAGCTTAATTTTTGTGCTGAAATTAAATTATTTATGATCATTATTCATGTTTTGTTTTTAAACGACACGTCTGCACTGTGTTAAGAATACCATGACATATTGCGTCCTTAAACGACAAGTAGTCATCCCATTCATTGCTATCAAAAGGTACATCTGGCTGTAACTTACTATCTCTCTAAATTCAAAACAGCAAGTTAGCAAGCCAGAGCTCATTAAGTCTTCCCCAATCATATCCCTCTTCGTCTCAGCCCTAGAGACAGCACTACGCACCTTCCACTCGATGGACAATGTGAGTGGGGCGGCGTCATTGAAGGAACACCTGGTCGTCTTGCGTGTGCTTCTCTCACAGCCGGCACTTTCAATGGGCTGCTGGGATGGAGATATTATAAAGTTCCTAAAAGCACCCCTTTACCATCACGGGGTGTTGATAGACGCCCTCTAATTGGGCTCCTGCATGTTGTTTCTACGGTATGATTAGGTGACATCTTAGCTCGGACAAAACGGTTGCCTAGGAGCAGTCCCCTTATAGGCTGTATGATAAAAAAAACAATGGCAATTTTTTGCCTATTACCCATTAACAGTAACATGTCTTCAATACCCCAAACTGTTTATAGCGTTATTTTCAACTTCACTGGTAGGTACCATGCAGATGTGCTTTGAGGCAGGTAACATGCAGTTGTGTCATAGGGCAGGTACCATGCAGTTGTGCCATAGGGCAGTTAGCGTGCAGCTGTGCCATAGGGCAGGTACCATGCAGCTGTGCAATAGGGCAGGTACCATGAAGCTGTGCGATAGGGCAGGTACCATGCAGCTGTGCCATAGGGCAGGTACCATGCAGCTGTGCCATAGGGCAGGTACCAGGCAGCTGTGGCATAAGGCAGGTAGCGTGTAGCTTTGCCATAGGGCATGTACCATGTAGCTGTGCCTTTGGGCAGGTACCATGCAGCTGTGTAATAGGGCAGGTACCATGGAGTTGGGCAATAGGGCTGCTATCACGTAGTTGTGCCATAGGGCAGGTAACATGCAGTTGTGCCATAGGGCAGACACCATGCAGTTGTGTAATAGGGCAGGTACTATGCAGCTGTGCCATAGGGAAGGTACCATGCTCCTGTGTCATATGGCAGGTACCATGCAGCTGTGCTCTTTAAAAAGCAGATTCTATGCAAGACCTTTGACTCTCACCTAGTGTTCCCGGGATAGCGTTCAAAGGGTCTGTGGCGACGCCTCTTAATCGATATGCCATAATTGGTTGGACATGCCGACAAGGAATCGATTTGGGATGTGGGGTGGGGGAATCTGTCTGTAACTAAAACTTCACATGCCTCGCGTCAATAACTTTAAGTAACTATGAATAGATGAAGAGGTAATTGGCAGAATGGCTGAAGTAGTAGCCAACATGGTCAGATCAAACTTTATATTTTTGATACAAAACACAACTCCAATAAAGTAACATTGAAGCATTGTCAGATGGTGGCTCCAAGTCCATTCCTCTACACCAGCCAGACATGAGAGACAATTAAGTAACCCTGAAGTATTTTTTGAGCAATGGTTTTCAATAAATTCGTCTACGGCAGCCAGATATGAATGGCAATAAGGATAATCCATTGATTTCACCTTCCATGTGGGATGTGATTTCGTGCATCCCATACCTGGAACACTTTTTTTTACTTGAACGAGAAATAATGCTCTCTAATCCTAAAGGATGTCTTCTCTGCTGTATAGAACATGTGAACACATAGAGGTACATGATGCATCTCTAAGGTCCTAATTCACAACAACAACAACAAAAGGAATGCACGAATAATAAAGAAGTGTGAAGTTGTTGTTTTTTTTAGAAAAAAAAAAAGCCATATAAAGAAAAAAAAAGCACGAGTCAACATTCAAAGGATAAATAAGTGCAAAAATAAATGTTCACATCAAATTAAAGTCACTAGTTAGTATCATAGACGAAACAGACGGACTGGAGGTTGCGTTATTGTTTTTGTCTTTTTTTTACAGAGCCCGTAACAGGCGAACATAGTAGTGCAGTCATAGTAGTGCAGTCATAGTAGTGCAGTCATAGTAGTGCAGTCATAGTAGTGCAGTCATAGTAGTGCAGTCTAGTTAATCGGATCGGTAAAACGTGAATGTTGAAAAAAAAAATCGTGTTATCAACATTATCTGTATTAAATTGTAAGAAAATACTTACATTCTGGGAATACAAGGCATGCCAAAAGGGCCGGAACGATTGCATTGAACTTCATTCTCTTGCTTCTTGCTATCTACAAACTACGTACATGTATATACGAATTATGTGCTAGGTTTAGTTCATGAAACCGGATGACCGTTCCAAAGTCAGCAGGGCCTAATGACAGATGGTAGAATACAATGGTTCTTAGATTTGTGTTCAAGACAATTCCTTTTTTTTTTTTAAATAATCGAGTGGGTGGGTGGTAAAAACCTATTTAAGAATTCTCAGGAAAAAAACTATAAATAATTTCAAAAAAAAAAAATTCAGAAAGAACCTCAAATTAAATTTAAAAAAGCAAAAAGCTACCTAAATATTTTAATGAAAATAAGGTTTTCAGAACATAATAGGGGACAGAACCACTTTTGCTGCATATTAGTTGACGTAAGCATTGCAGAGGTCATAGTTCAAAATTTTTGTGTCTGCCGCATCGCCACGAGGGTACATTCCATTGGACGTGTGGCACGTGGCTTGGTCTTAGAAGACGGCACTCCACAAGTGGAATGTGGCTATGGACGTGTGGCACGTGGCTTGGTCTTAGAAGACGGCACTCCACAATGGAATGTGGCTAGGCTTTCAATGTACATGAGCTGGCGCCTTCAATAGAGGAATCTAAACCGTTGACGTAAATGCCCATTAGTGTGGTTCAATTACTGGTCTATAAATAAAGAGATTGAGAGAGAGAGAGAGAGAGAGAGAGAGAGAGAGAGAGAGACGTTGAGAATACGAGTGAGATTGAGTGAGAGAGAGAGATGGGGTGAAAGAGAGGGAGAAAATAGAAAAGAGAGAGAAGAAAGCAAAAAGTGAATAGTGAAAGAGGAAATAAAAGATTGTTACGCACTGACTTGTATTGGGAGAAATTAATCTCCTATTTTAATTTTAATTTTTAATTGGCTCGTTGTAAACAGTGCCTAACAAAGGACGATACCCTAGAATCAACAATATTAAAGATACGACCCAAAACAGTTTCTAGTTACAATTAATTAAGATTTATTATGTCTTAAGATAATTACAAAATAAAATAAAATAAAATTACAATCTTCAACTTACAGTATGGTAGATCTCGTACCGGTACACAATTAATACAATTAGAAATAATGATGCCAATAAATAATGCGAAATAAACACATATAAGTAGGAGCACACAAATACACAAAGAATAAAACACGCCTCGTAATGTTAAGAAAAATTATCTGAAAAAAATCTCCGTCCCTCGTCCGTGCCTGTCAATCCCTTATATAGGTGGGTCTACCAACGCCCAAGCCCTGCCTTCGAGACATTTCTAGAAAAATCAAAATCATTCTACAAAATACTATTTGGAACAGATTAATTATTTTTATTCGTTGGCGGCGTAAACAAGAATACATCAAAGACCTAAGCCACACCCCTTTGTGAACACAGCGTCTCATGCGGGGTCAATCAGAGGGCACGCACGAGAAATATGATGTAAACAAGCTCCCTATAACAACATGTTGGAAAGAGGTTTGAAAAAAAAGGGGGAGAATAGAGACAAATAATTTAGGGAGATGAAATAAAGAGAAAAATAAAGGATTGAGCTTGTCAAGAGAAGAGAACAACTTCGAGAGAAGACAGGGAGAATGCTGGTAGAGAGATATCAGTTCTAATACCTTTTTAAGCCCAAAAATAAATCACCACGTGAAATTGAAAGAGTTGAGTCAAAGCAGCCACGCTAGAGGAAGAGGTGGATACTGTAATCATCTATAAAGCTCAGTTTGACGCTGTTTTGTTAAACGGAACTATCGATCAAGAGAAAGCCAGAAAATAGACCGCAATCCCGTTTGACATATTCATTCCTCCTGTCCTACAAATGGTTACCGAAAAGTTTGGTCTAAATCTCCTTATCCCAACACTTTTAATTTATAAAAAGCGGTAAAATCTCAAGGGTAAAGAGGACAAAAAAACATGTATATTTTCATCTTAAATGGCTACGGAGGGACGTTCAAGTTAAGTGATATTTTGTGTAAGTATTTTTGACAAGCCTTTATTTCAGAACGTTCCGCTTTCCAACCTCTCGTCAGGGCAAGATTTTGGTACGTCTTTCTCTATGGATGCAATTTAAACAAAGCACTTTTCTATGTGCTTTAAAAAATATAACGTTAAAAAGTCTCATAATTCATGGGCGTGCAGAAGGGGTGCTTTGGGGTTTCCAAGGCTTCACAGTCATAGGTTTTTTTTAATTTTCCTAAAGGTCTCTTTGATTCTTATGTCAATAAAAGTCTCTTTGATTCTTATGTTCATTTAAGTTTCTATGTTTCTTGTGTTCTGTAAGTCTCCATGTTTCTTTGTTCCTATAAGTCTCTATGTTTCTATGTTCCCATAAGTCTCAATCTTTCTATGTTCATATAAGTCTCTATGTTTCTATGTTCCTATAAGTCTCTATGTTTCTATGTTACTATAAGTCTCTATGTTTCTATGTTCCTATAAGTCTCTATGTTTCTATGTTACTATAAGTCTCTATGTTTCTATGTTCCTATAAGTCTCTATGTTTCTATGTTACTATAAGTCTCTATGTTTCTATGTTCCTATAAGTCTCTATGTTTCTATGTTCCTATAAGTCTCTATGTTTCTATGTTCCTATAAGTCTCTATGTTTCTATGTTACTATAAGTCTCTATGTTTCTATGTTACTATAAGTCTCTATGTTTCTATGTTCCCATAAGTCTCTATGTTTCTATGTTACTATAAGTCTCTATGTTTCTATGTTCCCATAAGTCTCTATGTTTCTATGTTACTATAAGTCTCTATGTTTCTATGTTACTATAAGTCTCTATGTTTCTATGTTCCTATAAGTCTCTATTTTTCTATGTTACTATAAGTCTCTATGTTTCTATGTTACTATAAGTCTCTATGTTTCTATGTTACTATAAGTCTCTATGTTTCTATGTTACTATAAGTCTCTATGTTTCTATGTTACTATAAGTCTCTATGTTTCTATGTTCCCATAAGTCTCTATGTTTCTATGTTACTATAAGTCTCTATGTTTCTATGTTCCCATAAGTCTCTATGTTTCTATGTTCCCATAAGTCTCTATGTTTCTATGTTCCCATAAGTCTCTATGTTTCTATGTTACTATAAGTCTCTATGTTTCTATGTTACTATAAGTCTATATGTTTCTATGTTACTATAAGTCTCTATGTTTCTATGTTCCCATAAGTCTCTATGTTTCTATGTTCCCATAAGTCTCTATGTTTCTATGTTCCCATAAGTCTCTATGTTTCTATGTTACTATAAGTCTCTATGTTTCTATTTTACTATAAGTCTCTATGTTTCTATGTTACTATAAGTCTCTATGTTTCTATGTTCCCATAAGTCTCTATGTTTCTATGTTCCCATAAGTCTCTATGTTTCTATTTTCCTATAAGTCTCTATGTTTCTATGTTACTATAAGTCTCTATGTTTGTTATGTTCCTATAAGTCTCTGTTTCTATGTTCCCATAAGTCTATAACTTTCTATGTTCCCATAAGTCTCAATGTTTCTATGTTCTTATAAGTCTCTATGTTTTTTATGTTCCTATAAGTTTTTTATGGTTCTCCTAAAATTTATCCCCATCAGATTTAAATTTCTAAAGGAGTGTAAGAGGTTCCACTACAGTGGTTCTCAACCTTTCTAATGCCGCGACCACTCTATACAGTTCCTCGTGTGGTGGCGACCCCCAACCATAAAATTATTTTCGTTGCTGCTCCATAACTGTAATTTTGATTCTGTTATGATTCGCAATGTAACTATCTGATATGCAGTTTGTATTTTCATTGTTACAAATTGAACATAGTTAAACCATATTGATTAATCACAAAAAACATTAGGTAATTATATATTGTTGAATATTTATTTCTGATTATAAATATAATGAAATTGTCTCTTGAAGCATGATGTAGCATGGATAACAGTCTTAATATAACAACAGTAAACTACTTTGCTACATTTTGCGACAGTATGCGTAAAAAGCCAACGTCAGTGTGGAGGTTGACATTGTTTCTTTCGTAACAGATCAGAAATGCTGTGTTTGTAAGAGCACAATCAAGATGATCTTCCACAACAAGTCTACTTCTGTCTTTAGACTTGATTACCAACAAGCTGGAAACCCTTATTTCACATAGATATGTTGTGTTTTAAAGGAAGAGGAATGCGCAACACAGTCTCAGACAGAACAGGTTATGACTGCTAACCATTGATCCAGAATTTTGCTACTGGCATTGTAGAGAAATCAGTTCTTGATGCATCGCTGTTAATAAGTTCAATGAACTCCTCTTGTGCTGACTCAGGAACATCTTCAACTTTGACTGTGAATGGACTCCTGGCAAGTGCAAATGGGGCGTTATGTAGATTTGGCACGTTCAATATCATGAAACCAGATAAGATAGGCAACGTGTACATTTTATTGCCATCCATTTTTTTGGCCAAAGCTGAAATTAAAAATCAACTGATCACATATTTTTGACAAATCGAGAAAGGTTGCATTTGGTCCTTGCAGAGATAGATTTAACTCATTCAAGATGGCAACCAAGAAAGTAAGCTATTTTTGTTCAGTTCACTTTTATTAGTAAAAAGAGCTTCAGACTGCGGTCTTGCTTTCTGATTTAAAAAAGTGTTCAGTTCATCACGAAGCTCAACAACACGTTTTAAAACTTTTTCTTTCGACAGCCATCTCATTTCGGTGTGACAATGGCAGAGCATTGTTCGGCGCATCCAACCTGTTGCACAATTGTGAAAACAGGCGACTGTTTAAAGTGATCGCCCCTACAAACTTGACAAAACGTATGACGCTTTTCATTACTTCTTGTAACCCTTGTGGCAGCGACTTCGTAGCCAAAATTTGCCCATGAATCAATCAGTGAGCTCCGATGACTTTTGGTGACTCAAACGTTGAAATCCATATAGACATCCTAGCATTGCTGGAGCACCATCTGTGACATCCTAGCATTGCTGGAGCACCATCTGTGACATCCTAGCATTGCTGGAGCACCATCTGTGACATCCTAGCATTGCTGGAGCACCATCTGTGACATCCTAGCATTGCTGGAGCACCATCTGTGACATCCTAGCATTGCTGGAGCACCATCTGTGACATCCTAGCATTGCTGGAGCACCATCTGTGACATCCTAGCATTGCTGGAGCACCATCTGTGCAAACAACACAAAACTTTTGCCAAGAGATATTATGATCTTTTAGAAATAAACCAACTGTGTCAACGAGATCACGTACAGCCGTTGTCGTTTCAAGAGGTTTGCAAAACTCATCTTTAAAGTCGCCATCATTAATATACCTCATGTAAACTAGTAACTGAACAGTTTTCAACGTCTGTAAATTCATCCAGCTGGATACTAAATATTAGAAGTGGGGCAGATTTTATTTCCTGGATTAC